AAAAAAAAAAAACCACAAAAATTCAATATTTCATTATTAAAATCCTTGGTTTATCATCATATGTTAGCATCCATGAAAAACTGTACATGAAGTAGAAAAGGTTTAGATCTGGGCCACAGTGCTCAGGGAAGCTATGAAACAGCTTATACATAAGGAATGAATAACTAACCTCACGTTCTTCAGACATGGTAAAGTCATGACAGCTATGGAGAAATTGGCTCAGAATGGTAATTCGCTGTAATGATGCACTGAGAGACAACTCAATCCTATTCTTCCCTGGATTCTTCGTAGATGACGCTTGGAAATCTAGTCCAGCAAATCTGGAAGCCCAGCAGACTATAAGTTCTCAGTCTCAGTCTATATCTAACAACATAAAGAAAACATCATCTTTCTATTTAATACACCGCTGCTTCCTCAAGGCACAGGGAAAAAACAATGTATAACTCAACAGAACACCAGCAACTAACCCCAAAAGTACAGTGGTATAACCAGTATAAAAGCTGTAGATGAAAAATGAATTGAGAAAGAATCCAACTCCAAGCAGCAATACATCTGGGAAAAAGTAATGAAGGAAATACTGCTAATACCAGTCAACACAAACGAAACTGAAAACACATCCAATCATTTCTCTAACACAGATCTAATAGAAGGTGCCAGGAAACCAGAAAGATCTTTTCCACATTAAAAATAAGCCCAGAACAACAATTTGACATCTTGCTTACAGAAGGACTCTAACTCCATTACAGGTTATTTAATTCAGTAAAGGAATTGCTAAACACAATTACCCAGCCTGTGGTTTGCAGCAGGTCAGAGTATTATAATAATTGAAAATAATTATAATAGCTTCTTTTGACATGCAAAGGTCTCAGACAGAAAAAATGAGAGAGCTCAAAATCGTTCTGACTGAATGCTGCCTTATGACTGCTCTAAAATTTAAAAACTTAAATGAAATGACTCAGATACAGATACTGAAAGCAAGGCACATCTTAGGAAGGCAGATATGTGCTACAAAATTTGGTTTGAGTTTGTTTTGTTATTGATTTTCCTTCTATAGGAAGTAATTTTCAAAGGAAAGAGAAGTTGTTAACCAGAAGTTTTGGCAACTTAGACTAGAATTTCTGCATCTTGCTGTCTCTGAGGAGTGAGAAAGCAATCTAAATCCAGAAGTCCTTTCCAGAAAGTATCCGGGGCTTTTCCTGTGGATTACCACCACCAAATCAGTGCCTGCCTTAGCTGCCACTCAGATGTTTGGATATTATAATACTTTGAAATACTGGAACAATTCAAAACAAATCTGAACTGTTATTCAAAATAATCTGAGCTGTAATTCAAAACTAAATCTGAAAAAAAAAAATCTGTGTTTAATTAAATAGGCAAATCTGTCATTTAAGAGAGTGGTTGGTTAATAGCATCCATCAATGCAGTCCTTAAAATATACAAAAAAATTAAAGCTGAATTAGGCAGCTAAAAGAAAGCAAGATTTTTCAAAGAGTTCAGCACTTAAAGTTCAAGCTTAGTGGTCAATTATTGCAAAAATGGAGACAAAATTCAACTTTTATTTCTTCAATATAATTTTTTGAAAGCAACAAGTAGAAAGATAAAAGTAGGATTAATTTCCTACCTGTGTGATATACCTTTGAGGCTGGAAATGAATTCTACTGGACTGAATGTTTCCTTCTGATGAGACATTTTGCACACCCTGTCTGCAAGTTTGATCCTGTTTTGTCTCAGATTAAAACCAAACCAAACAACAAAACCAACAACAATACAACTGCAAGAGTATGTAAAGGAAATTACTATAATAAAATTGCTACAGAAAAGATAATTTAGAAATCAGAACTTTTCAATCTACTCTCCTGCATAACCCTTCCAGATATGGCACTGTAAGCCAAAGTTGGAGAGGGTGGAGAAGAAATCCAGGACTTTCAGTCATTGTATATCAACTTAAAGGGGTTAGGAACCTGCTATTAGGAACCTATTATTGTCCTGTGTATTTAAAAAGAAATCTTAAATCCACTGCTAGGCTGAAAGTCCAGGACATTGTGGAGCACCAGAGAGGATAGTGTTTACGTATTCACAAAGCAGAACTGAGAGGAAAGGGCTTCTTTTAAACAGTCAAGGTTACATTTTGCACTAATGCGTAACTAATGTGCAGTATTTTATCAGCTCGAGTTTACAATTCAAATAGAAGCCCTTGCACTGAAAATATGTCTAGGCTTCTGCTTATATTAGCCAACAGCTCTAATGGGTTATGTCCATAGAGTTCAATCCAAGAACACTGGCATTTGTGGCCTTACTGGGCTTTGGATCAGGGACACGAAAATCTTCGGTATAAAGTTAGCGCTTTGCTAAATGAGATAGATGTAACAGCTCCTGTTTTCCTGAGTCAGTTACATACCCAGTCTTCAGTTTGTTCTGAAAAATGTGAAGAAAAAATCACTTTCATGTAAGGCATGCAAAAACTTGGTGTTGTTTTTCCTTTCTGTGCCTGTTTATTTAGTTCCTCTGGACATTTTAAGTGGTGTTGGTTGAGAGACGGATTTATCACTCTCATCATTCACCGGTTGTGATTTATTGGCTGTGGCACAGCAACCTCCCTCTGAGAAATATTGCAGAGACGTGAGCAGAAGCAACCTTGCAAGGGGTTAACACTGTAATCTTTTTCTAGTCTGTTTATAATCCCAACAGTAGGCCAGTAACAGAAGAGGGTGGATCTAAAAAAGTACAGGAGGGGATGTGTGCATGTGTGCATATGTGTGAATGTATGTCTGCGTGCCTGCCCTGCTTTTCTAAACTGCCTCATATGGCATAAATCTTTTTCAGCCTGACCAGAGTGTTCCTGACGGACGGTAAAAGAGCTTACTTGCACCTCTGCCTCTCTCATATTCCTCTTGAAGACTTCATTCAGAAGATATCTGTTTACTGAAAGAATGGGCAGATAGTTACAAACCAGCCTTCTTCATAGCAGCTAACCTGTGGATCCTGAAGGATGGAAATAGTTGATGCTAGCTTCCTTGAGAACAGTACCAATATCACTGCTTTGCTGTGTGATATCCTCTTGGAAAATGAGACTTTTTACTGTGTGGATGATCCACCTTACTCTTCTAAAGGTAGGTATAGAAAATAGATCTTTCAGGCAGTTTGAGTTCTAGCTGGAAGCGAGCACGGAGTGAAACAGCCAGAGAAGGCTTTTTCTGTGGGGGAATGCAAAATCAACTACTTGCTGATAAGTTAGGATGAGAAACAGGCAGAAAAGATTTCAGTATGTATTGGTTTTCCAAGATAAACATCCAGATGGAACAAAACTGAGTTAGAATGGAAAAATGACAGTAGGAATATTGGGTACAAAATGTAAACAGCTCTATGAGGGACATGGAGAAACACAATTTTGACTCTGAGAAAATCCGTAGCACTGAAGTTATGTGGTCTGACATCATATGTAAAAGATATTAAATATGAAATTAAAACACTATGGGATTGAAATAATCATCACTTCAATAAAATGTTTTTGATCGCTGTATAATTTCATGCTTTCACAAGAAAGGAGGAATTTCTGTGGTGAATGAGCAGTGCACATTAAGCAGTTTGAACAGAACATGCTTTTCAAAAGTTGTATTTTTCTTCAGAAGTGCACTGTATGTGTCCTATCTTAAAGTTATTCAATTGAGGTAGATCAAAATACATTTAAGAATTTCAGAAGTTCCACTGATTGGTAAAAAGGTATAAACCTCAGCAAGACTAAAACCAGGCAGGCTTTTGAAAGGGTTTACATACTGATTAAAGAATGAATCATATAATAGTCTATGATCTGTATAATTCATACCTGATTTCTCTCTGTGATTATTTTCAGATTTGCATCAGATAATCCGGATCCTGCTGTACTGTTTGATATTTCTGCTCAGTGTTTTGGGGAACATTCTGGTCATCACTGTGCTGATAAGAAACAAACAGATGAGAACAGTCACCAACACATTTCTGCTGTCCCTGGCAGTCAGTGACCTAATGCTCTGCCTCTTCTGCATGCCATTCACCCTTATTCCCAACCTGCTGAAAGATTTTATTTTTGGGAGCACTGTTTGCAAAACTGCCACTTACTTCATGGGTAAGTCTTGGAAGTTTACTCTTGTTTTGAATATTAACTACTGGGATATGTGAGAAGGTCATTAAAGACCTTTCTATCTATTTCTTCTATTTGCCATTGAACAGCTACCAAAATCATCAAGAAACAACTCCATAGGGCAGATATTTATAGGTCTGGTTTCCAGCAAAACACAGAGATACTTGGTTAATTTTAACTGCACACAGAAGTGTTTTACTGTATCAGGTGAAGTGAGAAGTGTTTTGTACAAATAATCTTTAACGAGGAACCTGGCACATACAGTTGCTTACCTACCACTGACAGAACTATTAGCAGTGTCCAGATCATCCATCAGAAAGGACGGTCTGTATAGTCCTCACTACACAGATCTTTTGTTAGCAGTGGTACATGAAAGGACAAAAATAGTCAGAAGCAGAAGTAGGTACTATTTGCAGAACTGGATTTTACAGCAAGGGCTTTGTAAGAACAGATCAGGTCAGATCTGAGGTCAGCAGTAGACCACAACGTGCAGGCTGTACAGATGCAGCTCTTACAGACTGACTTCAGGAAGTCACACCACTGTATGCTGTGCTGTACCCCTTTTGTTTGTGGAGGCTGAGCCAGGAGTTTCAAAAAGTCTGCAATGTGCACCTTTAACTTACGCCCTTGAGAACTTTTATGTAATGTGAAAGTATGCACCTAAACTGGGAATGGGAAATCAACATCTTTTTGTAGATAAAACCAGTACAACTAAAGGCTGTGTTTAAACAGTTATAATGAATTACTGCCATAAACGTCGTAAAAATTTACCTAAGCAATGTCATCTTTCTCTTATTTCACAATTTATAAGTTTATAAAAATCCAATGAAATATTTCTGATTCTGCACGTCTCAGCTATGAAGGTGTCTTATTTTAAGAATCAGAACATGGATATTTCCCTTTAGCAACTCAGGTTAAGAGGCTTCTATTGATAAATAGGCACTGACAACCATTCTATCACGTATGCTCTCAGTCTTCAATTGTAAGATGTAAGAAGACATATTCAATTACATATGATTTGTGTAAAGCAAAACATTAAGACACCAGTGTTTTACATTTTGACTGACATCAGAGCATTCATAAAAATTAAAGTTCACATACTGAAAGAATTGTTGTAAAATCAAGCAAAAATATCTATAATCCTGCAGTAGTAAACTGAGATGCTTCAGTGACAGAAATACAGACCACTGCATTATATTTCATAATGTGTGAGCAAGTGAAATTAAGGATACTTGAAGGATAAAGATTCTTCTACTTTTTTAACTCAATTAGCATCTAATTTTTTAAAATGGAAATATTTAATTCAGTTGAATGAGGAAATCAGATCACCAAGCTAGCAGGACAAGTAAAAAATTAAAGCAATAGAATAGGGACTGCAGCACTCTGTTAAAAGAGCATCAGCAAAATCCCACTATTTCAAATGCTGATTTGAAATGAAACACAATTACTCTGGTGCATAAACCACACAGTAGGAAAAAGAATTAGAAGGAAAAGTGCCTTGCTTCTGTTTTCAGAATTTCATGGTTTGAATGAATGAATCTTTTCTCTTGGATTGCTGGCACTAGAGCAATGAGCAGGAGAGTCGGCATGGAGACCTAGACCCAATTTCTATGCACTCTTCACTAATTTAATCAGCATGTTATTTATAAATAATTTCGCTTAAGACTAGCTTGCTGTATTTGTGTTTTCTCTACTTTTATATAGAAAGTTAGCAAGATTATTTGAAAACAGCAGAAGCATTTTAAACACAAGAATAACCTTTTACTTTGTTTTCTACATGCAGGGATCTCTGTAAGCGTATCTACATTCAACCTGGTTGCCATCTCTTTGGAGCGGTACAGTGCCATTTGCAAACCTCTTCAGTCCAGGGTCTGGCAGACAAAATCCCACGCCTTGAAAGTGATTGCTGCTACCTGGTGTGTTTCTTTTACCATCATGTCGCCATACCCAATTTACAGCAAGCTGGTCCCTTTCACCAAGTACAACAATAGCACAGCCAACATGTGTCGGCTCCTTTGGCCAAGTGATGTCATTCAGCAGTCTTGGTAAGATTTATCTAACTCTAAGCAAATGCATAATTATCTGGCGGAAAACAGGATTTCATGGTAGCATTAAGCCTATTGAAAATTAAGCATTAACCATCAGGAAACATGTACACTTCTCTCAAGATTATTTATAGAAAAAGAATCTCATTTTTAAGCTGCTTACATTTTGACTCTTATACAACTTCTGCCTTGTCATAGGGAAGAACACCTAACATGGCAATGATTCTCACACTGGTCTGCTAAGCCCCTGCTATAAAGAAAGCATCTGTCACTGATCAAGTCAGAATACTTCTGCTTTAACTCATTTAAGCATAAACTTCAATATTTTCAGAGAAATCTTCATTGATCTCAGAAAAAACACACACAAGCTCCCTTCTGTGTGCTACCTTGCCTGTTAACATTTGCGTCTGAATGTCTTCTGAAGCAGATAAGTAGAATTTGAAACCTTGGAGAGACTGCAAATGCCCTTCCTGAGAACTCGGCCTTTTTGGTTATTTGTAGAGAAGAGGGTAAGAGAAATGAGGGGAGCGGTAGAGCTCCAGGTGGTACACCTCCAGACAGGCTAAGTAAACAGTAGCACCATCAAGCAGCAATATTATTTTGACATTGTGTCCTTGCACGATGATCAAATACCTAAACTGGTGCTGAGAAGATGTAAGATTTTAATTTGTTTTTTTTTCACTCCTGAAGGTCAGTTGGAAGTAGGAACAAGATTAAAGTATGCGCCACTCACATTAAAGTCATATCAGTGCTTTCAGTAGCCTCAGGAGTTTGTCAGTGTGAGTGCAGGTGAGGAGGAAGGATGCAGGTCAAACTTCTTTCTTCCAAGGCATCACTATAGGTTCTAAGATGTGTTAATGAGCTGGTACCCGAGTTCCAAGGAGCAGGAGAGATGTAGGCTCCTGAATGTTTAAACTGAATGATTTCCCCATTTTTTAGTCACGTTAGAGAAGCTGCCTTCAGTGCATTACTTAGGAGAGCGACAGACACTGATGTGCAACCAAAGAAAAGGCTTCCAGCCCCAGGGGCTCCGCACAGACCCAGGGATGGGAACCGCAGTGGTGGCTGCACCATCCCTCCAATAGGTGCTATAGCCATGGGAAGGAAGTGCACACCAGCTACATCTCAGCCCAGTACTGGAAACCAGTACCAGGGGCACTTCTGAGGACCAACAACTCCTGTGGCTTCTGCAAGGCCAGAAACGTATTAAGAAAAAACAACAACAACAAGGTTTGCACTATTCCCCAGTCTCTGTCCATCTATTGATTCTTTAGGTACACCTTCCTGCTGCTCATACTCTTTCTTATACCTGGGATAATAATGATGGTTGCATATGGCCTCATTTCATTGGAGCTCTACAGAGGAATAAAATTTGATACCAGCCAGAGAAGATCTTCAAGAGGTAACAAAGCATTTCAGTTATTTTTTAAGTTAGAGATGAAGATGTGAGCAGTCATCTTGAGGCCACAATAAGCAAAATTTTCTATTTGTAAAAATGATGGTTATAATCTGTTTCATCCAGGAGCGTTTATTTGTTGATTGAGGTGATTCCATTATTCTCTTGCCAGTAATTCTCCACCTATGGTTTGTTTGCAGTTGTTCTAGGTGGGATGCTTGAAATTTAAAATTGTTATAGAAATGGCAGGATAATTTTCAGGCCGTGGATTAGGACCGTTTCTGTCAGTAAAATTCACAACAAAATTGTCAAATTAGAATAGCAGCATATTATTTCAAAAACTACCTTAAGCAAACACTGGAGCAAACAGTCTTCTGTTGCATCAGTTTGTGTGCAATTATGATGTGAGAATACTACGGGCCAGCAGACAGAGCAGCTGATACATGAGTGGTGCAAAACTGGGACAGTGCTTTCTCTGTCTTGTTCAGCTGTGAGTTATGTTATCCATTGAGGCTTAGAACCAACTCTTTTTGTAATTTGAGACACTGTTCAGAGACCTTTTGCCAACCATTTAAGCATTCCTTTATGTGTACAGAAAGAAAAGGAAGTACCAGCATTGCCAAATACGAGGATGGAGATGGGTGCTACCTGCACAAAGCCAAAAGGAAAAGGAAAGTGCCATTGCAACAGCTCTCTGCTATGAGAAACAGCAAAATAGACAGGGTGAGAAGCAGCAGCTCTTCTGCCAACCTGATGGCCAAGAAACTTGTCATCCGCATGCTGATGGTGATAGTGGTTTTGTTTTTCATTTGCTGGACTCCCATCTTCAGCGTGAACGCCTGGCGTGCATTTGACACCGCCTCCGCAGACCTGCATCTCTCGGGAGCTCCCATCTCCTTTATCCACCTGCTGTCCTACACTTCTGCCTGTGTGAACCCTATCATATACTGCTTCATGAACAAGCGTTTCCGCATGGGTTTTCTAGCCACTTTCACCTGCTGCACCAAGCAGAAGCCGCCTGTGATTAGAGGAGAGGTTGGTGATGAAGAGGAGGGGAAGACGACAAGGGCTTCGCTCTCCAAGTGCTCTTACACACACATGAACGTGTCTGCACCCCCCTGAGCTGCATCAGAAGGGGCTACAAGTGGCCCACAGAAATTCAAGTGGACATCGTCTGGTCTTGGGAAGTGGCTGTGGCATTAGTTGATATGATTTAGTTCCAAGGTAATGAAACACTTCAGCTGACAGTAAACGCTGTGAGAACTTCATGGATGCTGTCTCTGTCTGAGCTTTATATCATTTTCCCTTCAAAAGTACAAAGGAGGAAGAGGGCTCTCTGAAGATAAGGGTCTTTACAAAAAGCCTTAGAAGACGGTCTATTTGTCATAAATTCTCCTGTAAAAACATTGGTGTCCTTAACATCAACAGTTTAGCTCAGTATTCAGCTACACATCTAAGCATCTCCGAAAATTTCCAAGCTGCCAATAGATTCTCCTCAAACACAAATACACGTATTTCAGTCTTCACTTCAGTATCTCTGCCTTACAATCAAAATCATTCGGTTACATCTGAAGTATTTTTTTCACAATATTTTAGCTGAGCTAAGATGTGTCAAGATCATGCTGGTGCCATAGTCAAGTACAAGCATTTTGGGGTGGGGAGAACGGGCTTGTCTGTGTGAAAATAATGCTTTTAAGTAAAATTATTTTTTTCTAAATAAAATGAAAATAAATATTGATGACTTTAAATGTGGATGGAAAGCATTCTTCACCTGGCAAGAATCTATGATAAATTACCATCATTTAAGTGTATCTTTGTTTTAAATAAAAAAAAAAATAGAACAAGCACAGAGAAGCAGCTTTCTTCCCTGCAGCTGTGAGCACCCACGCACATAAAGGGCAGATGTGAGCTAAGTCTCAAAGGCTCACATGGAAATTGCCACCCTGGGGAGCACAGGGATAAGACTGAAGGCCTGGAACAATGCCCGCAGCAGGGATACATTGCACAAATGCATTCTCAGTCGTTCCTGCTCTGGTACTGCACACAGCAAAATAAAAGCCACGAGACACAGAAGAGCAGAAACAGCACAAAAAATGAGCACAGACTGAAAGATTTCATTACAGAGTGTGGGGATTTTGTTAACTTTGGAACTATTTTTCCAATTGCACATACTTGTAAACAAACTCAACGCAGGAAAATCTTTTAGTGCTGTAATTATTGTTGTTCTACCAAGCAAGGAATTCAATCTCTTCACTGTGCAGCGTATGGGTGAGGCTGGGTGCTCGGTGGAGCCAGGCAGGAGAAGTCAGATAATCTATTTTGTTCTGTGAAAATATCCCATTGGAGATGCTTCCCTCTCCAACCTGAGTCAATACCATTTTAAAAATTTCTTATTAGACAGAGATTAAATTTGAGTACTGCGTGGAATAAAGATGTGGATATTAAATATAACCACTCTCAAGGTTTTAATCAGAAAAATGTGATCTCTTTACAGAATGATTTTAAATTGGAAATAGCATTTGAGTTTCAAGCACCCAGAGCCATGTTCTGCGCTCAGTTATTGCCCACGGTGCCTTCCCCATATAACTTAGCATACAACTTCAGCTATTATGTTGTTTTGCATCCAGCTTGCTCAGAGACAGGAAATTAAAATAAAATCGTAAACACTATTTATGCACAATCCATAGAAACAACGTTTTGCCTGCCGCGTTAATAAAGCTGCACTGTTCCTGGAACTGCTGAGACTACCAACATCTATCTGACCTTTTGCAAATACCTACTGAATTAAATTATTTAGGGATTTAATTCATAGCAATGAAATGAAAATTTTACTCCACCTCAGGCTGCAGGATGAGACCCTCTGCAAACCCATCCTTCTGCTGACACTGAGGGAACAAGCTCGGCTGCTTCTGGATTGATGTGGAAGAGTGAGGGCAGAAAATGAGACTTTTTGAATAGTCTACAGCATTTGAAAGCCTGGCTTTATTATAGCTATTGCTTATATATTGCAAACCACATTTTAATGATACATTGGATTTGAATATTGCTAACTACACACTGAAACATAAGTTTTAGAATAAGTTTTAACATAGGTTTTATTCTAAAACATGCATTTTATTCTAAAGCATAAGAAGAACATCAGCTGTTTGGCCTAGCTCCTAGAGGAATGAACCTTAAACCCAATTCCAGCACAGAGCAGGAATTACATTTTTAAGATGAAATATTGCAATTCAGTCATTTTCATAAAATTGTTTGAGTTGTGGGGACCTTTAAAAGGCCATCCAGTCCAACTCCCCTTGTAATGAACAGGGACACCTACAGCTGGATCAGGTGCTCAGTGCCCCATGCAGCCTGACCCTGAAAGTCTCCAGGGATGGGGCAGCCACTGCCTCTGTGCAACCTTGCCAGTGCCCTCCTCTTTATATCCAATCTAAACCTCTTTTAGTTTGAATCCATTTCCCCTTGTCCTATCACCACAGACCCTGTCCAAGAGTCCGTCCCCTTCTTTCATACAGAATCATTTTGTCGTCTCTATTCCATTTACCAGCACTGGAAACTTCAGCCTTTCTGCAATGCTTTCTGCACCTCAGTGGAAAGTTCCCTGCTTCAGTATGGTGCCTTCCCCTCACTAGAGCTCTGGAATCCTCCCAACACGTTTAATTCAGATACCGCTCCCAGTGGAAATTTGTGTTCAACAGTAAGTATGAGCAGAACAGCTTGGTGACAAACTTTAGGAAACCTAAAGTTGCCTTATTTGAACATCATTTCTTTATAGGTGATTGAGGGAGAAATCCTATCCCACAAGCCTACTTTGACAACCTGCAGCAGGGGTACCAATGGCAAGCTACTTCCTAGATGGGGCAGACAAACAGCAAAGGACTCAAACACCACATTTCAGATATAAAGTGCCCATAAATCTCTTAAACTTTTCTCTCCTTCTTTCTCCCCACCTCCTGCCCATTCCCAGTGGCCCCACAGCTGCACAACCCTGCTTGTGCTCACACACTGTCTCCCTTGAATGCTGACTGATCACAGCCCTCCTCCACAGCTTGGAGCAGATGACTTCAGGCAGAAGCAGGCAAACAGGTGAAGGATTGCACACCCTTTATTTTCTCAGATATCCATTTCTCTCAAGCAACAGCTGATGATTCTCTGTACAGATCAAGGTATATATGGAGCATCACTAGATTCAAAGGATGTACTTACCTCTCTTCCACTTCTTGGGTCTTTTTTCTCCGTCTGAATTGAATGGATGGTGAGCTACATGTACGGTTCCTAGTGGTGAAAGTTGTCAGTTCTCAGAGAAGAGAAAAGAAAGATCAAAATTACTGGCTCCAAGCAACGATTATATGAAGGAGAGTCTATCATTTTCTTATTGCAGCATCACATAACATAGATCAATTGAAGTCACACCCCTCCTGTGCCTATAGGACAACCATGTCTTCATCCTCTGACCATTTTCCTATCCAGTTTTCTTTGTGCATTATTCATCTCTGTTACACATCTCCAGCACAGCCATTCCTTGGCTCTTCTCTCATCAGCAGCCTCCATGTCATATTAGTGTGTGCCTAAAAAATCCCAGAATTTCTGCCTAAGTTGCCTATAAAAGCCCCATTTCTGGCACTATGGTTTTACCTTTTCTCTTGCAACGCTTGGTAGGTTTACAAGGCAGCCTAACACAGAAGGAAAATGCAAAGGAAACGTTCTTGAATGGTAATGCTTCTGCTTTCTTTGCCTAATGGCAAACTGTCCCTGCTTGGAGTCATTATCTACATCTTCAGAGATAATTATGGCACAAAGAGTTTTCTTTGGTGCCACTCCCAGTTGTGTAACAAAGGCACTCATTCCAAGCTAGCAAGATGCTGTTTATCCGCTGTGCTGCGAGATGAGAGAATGCCTTCATTACCACCAGCAGGAAGCAAGTGCCAAGTAGGAACATCTTCTGCAGGCAAACACTATTTAATTTTAATAGACTTCCTCCTATTTCGGCAGTTTCTTATTTTCTTTCTTACCCAATTGACATCCAAGAGAAGGATGACATCCTGAGCTGAAGCCACGGGGCTTATTGTTATCTGGGAGCCGACAGTATCTGGGGGATAACTGCTCTGCTGCTAGGAATGTGCTCTTAGAGCACAGAACCACAGCATGGCTGAGGTGGAAGGGCCCTCTGGATCCCCCTGGTCCCTCCCCTGCTCCAGCATGGACACCAGAGCAGGGGGCTCAGGCCCACACCTGCATGGCTTCTGAATGTCTTCAAGAAGGGGTCCCACAGCTTCTGGGCAGCCTGTGCCAACATCTGCACAGCACAGGAATGCAAACCTCCTGCATTCCAGCTTGCACCCAGTGCTGCTTGTCCTGGCCCTCTGCTCCCTGCACTCTCCCTTTAGGCATTCATAGACATTGATGGGGTCTCCCTGAACCTCCCCTTCTTCAGACAGATGATAGCATTATAGAATACCCTGAGTTGGAAGGGACCCACAAGGATCATCTACTCAACTCCCGGCTTCACACAAGTACCCAGAAATCAAACTGTATGTCTGAGAGTATTGTCCTGATGCTTCTTGAATTCCAGTAGCTCCGTGCCGTGCCCACCACCCTCTGATGAACCTTCCCTAACACCCACCTGACCCTCCCCAGACACCCTCCAGACGCAGCCTCACCAGTGCTGAGCAGAGTGGGAGGATCACCCCTGCTAATTTGCAGGCAATACCATGCCTAGTGCAGCCAAGAATACCACGAGCTTCTGAGCAGCTTATAAGCCCACCATGGGACTTTTTCCATACCTGATTTCTTCAGCATTTCATTGCTGAGCAGAGGGAGATTGGCAGTGTCTGGAGCTGCTTCCTTGCTCTGAACCTGACTCAAAACTCAGTCATTACAGCAGAAAGTGAGGATAGCGATGCCCTCCCAGCATTCCACTCTAGGTTTCACACATGCCACACCCAACTCAGCACATCTCTGGTCCCTCATTTTGGAAGGTCACCGGGGTGTGGGGACCTGCAGTGGGCACAGCTCTGTGGGGACAAGTCAGGTCTGAAAGGGCATACAAGGAAAGCAGAAGCAAGTTTTTAGCTATAAAGCAGGACCACGATGCTGGATTTGTTAGGAGAAGAAAGCTCTGCTAGTTTCTAAGCCCTGGCCACACTGAGGTTGCAGTTCTAGGAAAAGGATCCAGAAAACATATCTCAGTGCCCTTGTGTTTATTAAATAAGGAACCTGTTTAAATAGTGTCAACCAGCTGAAGCAAAACAATACAGACCAGGGGA